TTTTTGAAATAAGAATATGCCTATATGTTAATCGGGAATGTGAGCTATCATCATGCCAAATTTCAGCCCAATCCGTCCAGTATTTTTCGCGTTCACTTGTCACAAACATACATCCATACATCCATCCATACATCCAAACTTTCTCATTTATAATATTAGTAGGATAACATGTGGTAGATATTTCCTTCTTGCTAACATAGGATATTGATTAATTATTAAACATGTGGTTGATATACTGTACTATCTGTAATACGTGAAGCCGTTTTTTGTGAACACCACTCCTCCCTTATTTGTGAACCAATTTCAACGTTTCAGGTGTAAAAAAAATCATTTCAATGTGTAGTTTTGCAATAAGGATTTAGAATTTAGGAAAGTTAAGGGCGCGAGGCGCTCTCAAAGGTCGCATTTCCTCCCTAAGAATCACATTGGACAAATTTAAAAACAAAAATACCCCCGCCGCAGCAAACCTGCAGACTAAGCGAATTTCCATTTGCCTGATTTGATTTGCAATTAAATCTATTCAAATAACATTAGGTTTAACGAGTACCTAGGTTTGCTGCCTACAGGGAAGGTAATAAAGTGTGTTTTTTAGTAAAATAATAGCTTGGTATAAAATAAATAAATATTCCAAGTTTAATCAAAATATTTCCTTAATTCCAAGTTTAATCAAAATATTTCCTTAACAAGCAAACTACAACATTTTACAATATTCTCCATGAGAATAACATAAACATTTGAAATTTACAATTTTAAAAATTTTCTCCCTTACCATAATAACCACACAGCACTTTGATATACTAAATTATTTGTTTAGCGAATTGCCCATATAGGGAATAAGCTATTACCGAAAAAGTAAATCGGTCCCTGGTCCAGGGCTTACTATTAAACATATGGTTATAGTTTATTCTTTATAAGAAATTCCCTAAAAATAGGTGTAAAATATTCAACCATGCGGCGGCATTGTTTTTACCGAGTAAAGCTGGCTAATTTTGGCAAAATAGAGATAAAAAAGAATATGATCAGGGTTAGCATTAGCGATCAGATGATATTATCCCGCCCATTTAAGACAGCTGATCCAAACAAATAAAATAAAATATTTTACACAAATATGTGGTAGGTTTATTTATGTCATTGGTTAAGGAAATAAAGAACGATTCTATAACCGTAAGTTATGAAAATTATGTTATTGATATATTTTAATGCAAACAGTGGGATAATTACAATGTAGGTCATAATTTTCTGTAAAAACTTGGTGGCTTTTTGTTTAAAAATTTGATCTACTTAACAAGTGTTTGGATTAGGCGGAATAGTACACCTTCCCGTTGGGAAGCACGGGTACAGCAGCTATTAGTTTTATAAGTCAAAAATTTTGCAGATTTATTATAACTGTTTTATCTGTTTTGATTATTTTAGTATTCCATTCAGTATTATTTTCCATTACCATCTGATAGTATTTACAAATTATATTTCAACTAGTGTACCTGTTGCTCGAATTCGAGCAATTGCTAAGTATTACTACAGGCGTTATTTAAAACAAATAACAGTCATAATTTCTGATGACTTTATAATATTCGACTCAAAGATTATGAAAATACTAAAGATGTACATAACAGATCGATATAATCAACATTTATTGTAAATAGTGTTTTCTACAAATAGCCTTAGGTACTCATAGCTTCATTAGGTTTCCAGACACGTTATGTGTCCAAAAGCCTAACAGCACAACTCCCTTCCCCATACCAACCTGAGCGATAGGGATCATTGAGATTCGCTCTAACCTTTCCTCTCCCCTTCATGGGCCAGTTTTCATCCCTTTTCTTTCTTAGTTTTTGCTTGTTTCTTTTTTAAATTTTAATGCCTGTATGTATCCCTTGTCTTTTTCTATTTCCCTAGCTACTTTTCTAAACGTCTCAATTGCTTCCTTGTCACTCCTCATCACGTTTTATTTTCTCATCTCTAGGCCTATCTTATACAAGACTTATTCATGTTCTCTCCTATTTGTCTCCTGAAGTAAACAATTTATCTCGTGGTTTTTATATCTCCACATCTACATACTTCCTCTTCCACCATGTGAAATGTTCACAAAATCGCCTTGAAATTTTCCATGTCCTGTGACAAACTGCGTTTCATAATGCCCCATCTCCCAATCTTGTTTCACTCTCTTTCTGATGGTAGGTATATATCCGAACGTTTACCTTTAAAATGTTAACATAAAACACTCTGCTCCCAACGCATTTTCCACTCATCTAATACAGTAGAACTCCGATTATCCGAATCAATAGGGACCAGACCCCATTCGGATAATCAAAAATTCGGATAATCGGAGTTTTACCGGAATTCCGGGAATTTTAAAGAAAAATCCTCATTTTCGGTGCTAAGTGAGCTTTTAATTAATAATAATTTAAATCAGAACGTTTTTACAGTTTACAATGCTCATAGTACAAGTGTTCTATACATGTTATTAAGTCAATAGTGTTCCATTAAAGTCCAAAATTGGCTAAATGTGTTTAATGACAATTCTTTGATATTTTGCAAAACTTATTACTGTAGCTTTACGTTTTTAAAATTGTTGAAATAAGCGATTTGGATAATTGGAGATTCGGTTAATTGGAGTTCGGATAATTGGAGTTCCACTGTATCTCCTCTCTTCTGTTTCCGATTTAGTCCTACCCGCCTCCTTGTTTTCCAAAATCAACAGCTTATGCAGCGATTATCCAACAGTCCTAAATTGAATGTGAAATCTTCAGGCGACTGTTGGAGAGCACACTAAAACACAACACGGAAGGGTGCTTGCTGTATTCGGCTATCAACGACAATAGTATTATTTGTATTTCGTTCGCGTCTACCAGTTACAGTTCGTCAGCCTCCTCCTATTGGCCGTCCTGCTCAACGTCTTATAGTCTCCATTATGTCAAACGTTTTTTTGGTTATGTTTTGATTTTGTGCAAAATTTTAGTATAACCAGCTGTTTCAAATATTAGTGAATAACTTCTTGATCAGCATTGTACGTGTTATTAAATTTACGGAAAGTAAATAAAAGAAACGTCTTATAAAACTTAAAACATATATTTACGCTTATACTGTTACTCACAAGACGGTAAATATACAAAAAAGATGGTAAGTGGTGATCGATTTTGATTGGACACTCCAATCATCATCAGACACTGCATACTTTCGCCTACTGGGTCTGATGATGATTGGAGTGTCCAATCGAAATCGATCACCACTTACCATCTTTTTGTATATTTACTGTCTTGTGAGTAACAGTATAAGCGTAAATACAGGGTTAGTAAAAAGTGTGGAGACCCCCTGTTATTTTTTTAACGGCCCATACTAGAAAAACTAAACTCGGCACACCATTATGGCATGTTATGAAGTACTTTTTGGGCATAACCGCCACTTGGCGTTCATCCCCAAAATGGGGGATTTTGGGGAAAACTAAAAAATTTCAAATACAAAGACCCATTGAGTGACCCCTCATTTTGAAGGTCCTGGTAAAAGAAAACCAACAACGCAAACTAGAGGTTTCTATCTCAGTTCAGTAAAAAATGGCAGCCAATTGAAATTCTCATAAGTTCCCAAACCCAAAATGGGGGATTTTGGGGGAAACTCAAAAATTTTAAATGATGGGGCTCATCGAGTGATCCCTCATTTTGAAGGTCATAATAAAAGAAAATTAACAACGCAAACTATAGGTCTCTATCTTAACACAGTAAAATATGGCAGCTAATTGAATATAAAATCGCAAGTTATTTCTAATTTCTAATTTCTAAAGATTTCAATCAGCTTCCATTTTTTACTGGATTGAGATAGAAACCTCTAGTTTGCATTGTTAGTTTTCGTTTACCAGGACCTTAAAAATGAGGGGTCACTCGATGGGGCTTATTATTTAAAACTTTTGAGTTTCCCTCAAAATTTCCCCATTTTGGGTTTGGTAAGCAAGTGTATATTAGGCTTAAAAAATACTTCATAACATGCCAAAAAGGTGTGTAGAGTTTAGTTTTCCTAGTGTGAGCCGCTACACAATTTACAGCAGGTCTCCAGACTTGGAAAGCTGCAAGTTAAATTGAACTTCTGAGAATTTCAATTGGCTGCAATTTTTTACTGGATTGAGAATATTGAGATAAAGACCTCTAGTTTGCGTTGTTGGTTTTCTTTTGCCAGGACCTTCAAAATGAGGGATCACTCGATGGGTCTTTGTATTTGAAATTTTTGAGTTTACCCCGTATTCCCCCATTTTGGGGATGTACACCAAGTGACGGTTATGCCCAAAAAGTACTTCATAACTTGTCATAAAGGTGTGCTGAGTTTAGTTTTTCTAGTTTGGGCCGTTAAAAAAATAACAGGGGGTCTCCACACTTTTTACTAACCCTGTAACTTATATGTTTTAAGTGTTATAAGACGTTTCTTTTATTTACTTTCCGTAAATATTAGTGTCAATTTCAAAGTATTCATCTGTTCAAATTTAAACAAACATTTTCTCCCTATTAATAACATGGGAACTTTGAAGGCCACTGGGGCAGAGCCCTGATGGAATTCCAAAGTTTTTTTTGTTTGATGGCAAAACTACATGCTAAGACCTTTCTAAAGACACCTTGAACATGGTGATCGGTAGCACCACCACTCCAAAACAATTATGACAAAAATATGCCTAGCGTATTAAATATATAGATTACCAATAATTTTTGTTGTTTTAATGTTTTTACAATTTAATTTAATGCAGCCAAATCAGGGCCATTTTTTCGACACTTTAATCATCAAAATCAGTCCAAAAATGAGGGAGGAGTTCTGTTTACAAAAATCGGCTTAGCGTATTATATATATAGAAGATTGACTATTCAACTATTTCAAAGGAAATAGCTGCAACTTTACATCTATGCATCTATTACCATCTATTATGCCATCTATTACATAATACATGGCTGTTTTGCCGTTCCCAAAATTATTTGCCAAACGGTTTTATTTAGATTATAACCTCCAAAAAAAGACAGAAGAGAAGGTTCAGTGAAAAAAAAAACAAAATATATATATTTTTTTAGACAAATTTACAGTTAGAAAATGAAAAGTTAAGTCACGCTTGAGCTGTGAGGGCGGAGGATTTTTGGCAAAGCTTCCCCAACAGGCCGGCCAGCTGTAGAAGAGAGTTACACCCTTCAACGATACGCATATGTACCAACCCAATCTCCTGAAAACATATGATTCTTAAAAACAAATTATAAATCTAACAGTACAGTATTACCAAGAATACATAACATGCAAAATGCTGTAATCTCAAGAGTGCAATGACACTTCTTGTTCAGTACGATCACAGAAAACATTCTACTATAACCCAGAATGCCAACCGCATGGTAAAAAGCATTAAGTGTTTTGAGAGAGCTTTGCCACCAGCGTTGCCATGCACTCAGCATAGCAACGCTGGTGGCGCTGCCTACGAATTGACAGGCAAAGCTCTCTCTAAACACTTAATGCTTTTTACCATGCGGTTGGCATTCTGGGTTATAGTAGTATGTTTTCTGTGGTACGGTTTTGTAAATATGGTAATTAGTAATTTAATCATTAATCATGTACTGTATTTTATTAACATTTAATTAACTGTCTGCATAGGGTTTAATATTCATTTGTATTAGTTATTTATTTTAAGTCTGTAAAATGTATTCCACTCTACTCAGACACACACCACGGCAATTCCCCTCCCTCATATTCTCCTCAAAATCATACAATGCAACGTCATATGGCGTGATCTATCTCTGTCTCTTTCCCTCTCAATCCCCATTCCCCCTGCTACCTTCCAGTGATGGATTTTATCATTAAAAAGGTATGTGACACTGTTTTTCTCAACTCTAATTAACTCCCATATCGAATACTTCTCTTATTTTAAATTAATTGTATTTCAGATGTCTGATATACATTTGTGATATTTAGAGGTAAGCCGATACCGATACTCGATACCAAAATACTCTCGATACCAGCGGTATCGAGGTATCGTCGATACTCGATACTTGCCTGTTGTGGGTTCGATACCGATACTGACACTGAACCACTGAATGCTACGAATCGGTGCGGATTAAGTCAGTTCAGAGCGGGTAAATTGCCGTTGCCGTTACAATCCTAGCTGTTTGCCCACTTAGTTAAATATACTCGCAACTCGTGTCGAGTAGTAGAGGTTAAGCCGATTTCGTTGATATTTGACAAGTAAATAACAAGAAAGGAAAATGTTTGAGTTTTATTTAATCCCTTAACCACTTTCAATATTGACATACTAGGCCAAATAATAATAATCGGCAACCTAGACATCGCTTGTGTCATCCATTTCACTGACAGCGACAGCTGACACTAGGTGATAGTGATAGGTAGTGGTGTGCAGCGAGTGCGATGCATTGAAATTTCAATTTGATGCATCGAATCCCGATTCGATCCAGCATGCATCGATTTGGTCACGATGCAGTTCTAAAAAGGGATGTGTCGATTATCGTCATCGATACCACCATCTATTGGTTACCACTTGGACATTGGTATCGGTACCAAGACTCTATTGTCGAAAGTCGATTCCGATGATACCGACACCCGACAGGGATAAATATTTTATTTCAACATTTATTTACTTTATAGCTACAGTATTAGTTTTGTAATCACGATTAACAATTTTCATAGCCAACTTAGAAACTATCTAGTTCAAAACAGCGACGGTGCCGGTGACATTGTTTAGCTTCAGCTCATTGCACAACACAATCTACATTTCAAGATGTCAGACTCAACTCATGAGACAACCGGCGCGTGAATGTCCTGCCAACACGAAATTAATTATACTAAACAATGTCTATATCAATAAGTCGGACATTTAGATGTATTATTTTTATTTTTAGTACAAAATAAATAACCTAAACACGTCGAAATGTGCAGTTTCATACCTGCATTATACGCATCATTAGAAAAATTATATTCAACCATTAAACTTTAACATCGTCATTGTCGTATGGTTAAGCTTGCCAAAAAGTAGGTTAAGCCATATTGCGCCAAAAAGTAGGTCCATATTTATCTGTACTATCTACCTGATTAAAGAGTTTAGTGAAGTTTTAAGAGCTACTGTGACATAATATATTTATTGAAAAATATCATAAGCCTTAGTCCATGTACATTTTCTAATGTTATAACGAATGGTGAATGTTGGCAATAAAAGTATGTAACAACAGTTCTCATTGGTCAGGAGGCGACAATGAACTACCATGTCAGCCAATCGACTTTCCTGTTTCAATGGAGAAAATGACGATTGCTTAGACATCGTTTTATGTGCTTATTGTGGGTGGGAAGGGTATCGATAATTATTATCGTGATTCAAGATCCGATATGAAGTACGTGTTCGTTTACATAATGAGTATTAAAGTATAAAAAACTAGGTTAGTTACAGACAGGTTCAAAACATCGATTGTTCCGATCCATTGTTGACACCCCTACACAGAGGTTGTAGTGACGTCGTGCATAAGGGCCAGGCAGGCTGGTTCACAGTGAATCCATTCTGCCGAACCATACTCTTTGTATCATCGGGAACATAGTCAAACACTTTTGTTACTAAATAAAACTATGGCATGTTTTATAAAAGCACTCTTTTGGAGATTCTAGTCCCAAAACATAATCTTTATTGTAGGCTAAAAGTAAAACCTATCTATTGCCATACTTTTCTCCACAGACGTCGACTTATTCTACAATGTATTTAAAAAATACCAGGTTTCAGTCAAAATACTTTTGTAAAAATTGACAATGTGTTGTTTTAGCACAGTCATTCCTTGACTACGATCGTTTTTACTCACTAGAGAAAAGACTCTCCTTACAAAAAGTGTTTACAGGCCAAGATGTATGTATGTTTTTTTTTTTTAAGTATAACTGCAATTGCTTTTAAAAATAAATACAAAAACTGTCAAATGACTTAGATTAATTTATAAGCCTACTTATAAATTAGAGAAAACTTTATTAGATCTCATCATAGTCAAATTCAAACATTTACAGTGTTTTAAAATAATTAACACTCAGAAACTTTTGTGTAGCCTAATGGAAATCTGCAAGCGACTGATGCTGAGGGTGAGGGAGGGCATGTGAACCAGGCTTTAGAGCAAACTTTCTCTTTTTCTACCCCATGTCCCGTTAGACAGTGGGCAGGGCTTCACACTAATAAACACTCAGTTCATTCATTCACAGTAGAGAATAGTTTTTGTGGCAGTGACGTATGTCTCTTGTCTGCTCTTCATAGCTCACACGTAGATTTCTTTCGAGAAATTTTAAGTTTTCAGCTAGACTTGGTGACTTTTTCATAGTTAAACGAATTTTGAGATATATAACTGTTTTTCATACAACTAGTGAGCAACTGTCATTATATAGGAAGTTCGTTTTTACTCTCTTAGGGAAAAAACTTACAGAGTATTTGTAGGCCAAGATGTACGTAATTTTTTTTAATTTATAGCTTAATGAGTTAACTAAGACAATTGATGCAATTTCAAATAAATACAAAAACTGACGAATGACAGATAAATACTTATATAAGCCTATTTATAAATACGAGGAAAATTTATTAGATCTCATGCTTTAGTCAAATTGAAACATTTACAGTAGGCCTATTTTAAAATAAACACTTAGTTCCATATTTTTGCAATTAATATTCTTCCCGTGTGTGGAGGAAACGAAGGTAGCCTAGTTAATAAGGCTGAGCTGAGTTAAGGCGAACAGACTCCACCGTAGTACTCTAGGTTGGCGCACAAAGGATCGTCACTGGATCGAGCAGGCATGCATGCTCAATGCTCAAACAGTGTCTTGCAGAGCAGGAGATCATTTCGAGTATGCATGAGGCCTTGGTGCAGATGTGGTGAATGTGTATAATCATAACTTAACTTAAATGAAAAGTCAACAAAACACCATGGCATCTGTTGGTTAGACGTCCAGAACAGGCTGCCATATATAATCAGTATCCAGAGAATTTTGTTTTATGCTAAAATTTAACAACTTATTCTTGGTGGGATTAACATCATATTATCTTTGGACTTGGGACAAGACTTAGCTGAGAACATCATTATCAGCAAACTAAAGAAGAGGAGTTATGAAAACTGTCTTTATGTCATTAATTAATATGGAGATCAGAAAATATCTAAATTTGTTTGGATGTTTTCAAGTTAATTTAGAAAGAAATCTATATTCACCCTATAAAAGCCAGTTAACATGATCTAATCAAGACGGTTAGTAAAACTCAACCTGATGAGTGTTTATTGTATTCAACCAAATTACATTAATAGTGGAGCTTTATCTTAGTCGCATTAGAACTACATTGGAATCTCTGTATAGGAAATTTTCTCTGTATAGTAACCCTTTATCAAACAATAATATTATGATAGTGAGTATGATAAATAAAAAAAACAATAGATCTGACAATAGTAATTGTTTTTTTAGCTTTGAAAAAAATCTTCAGCTAGAATGTGGAATTTTGAAGTTTTCAAAGTAAAAAATACAACAATAACAACATATATTTGCCCCATAACCCTCTAAGAAAGACTTCTCATCATCTGGCTAGGAAGCTTTCACTTTTCATGCTAGATAAGTCTTCACTCTCTTACATCCAGTCATATCAAAAGAGGAGTTTCATCAACAGTTTAGCCGCTTTTGATTTAATCCCAGGATGATAATTTTACCCATAGCATCGAGGAATTAAAGACACAATATATTACTTTGTTTGTTTTTAAAGCTCTTTTTAACACATCCACTAAACCTATTGTATTTTGAAGTTAAATCTCATCCAACCCCCGTGAAAACATACTCTCATGGTCCAGCTAGTATGCTTTGTGTAAATCAATTATATTAGATATGTGTTCACTCTCTTATATACAATCACTAGCTGTAACCCGCGGGCTTTGCCCCGTTTAACTTCTTAATTTTTAAGATTATCTCGTTCGCATGGCTCAATCACGTCCTGGTTGAAGTATGTTCGCTACGCTCACTCACCTTTAGGTTGGAGCTCGTTCGCTGCGCTCACTCGCCTCCAGGTTGAAGTTCTTTCGCTACGCTCACTCACCTTTTGGTTGCAAATTAGCTGTTGTCATAAATGTAAAAAAAAGTGATGCACCCTGTTGGTAATCCTTGTAACTTTAATGCTATTGAACATCATAGAACAGAACCAACTTGTTTAATTGAAACAGCTGTTAAGATTCA